TATGCGGTCTATCGGCGATTATTTTAGCCGGTCTCGTGTTCTGTGACAGACTGGCAAATCGACGGTACAGCGTTCTGTGACAAAAACCCGAAACCTCAAAAGTGCAATCGCCGATAGATGCATAAATAATAATTAATATATATAATTAAGAAAGGACGTATTAATTTTAATAACTGTACGATAAGCTTGAGGTTGACGGGAGGGCAGTAGTGTGCGTAATTATCTTCGCAACTGTGTGTGTGAACAGTGGTGCCCAACACCTATCAGATATATGGTTCTAATAGTTTAATCATTAGCCACCCTCCCACCCACTCAACTACACGTTCACCTATTAATTGCATCCATTTTACATTTTTACCTTCAAATGTTTACCTCTACCAAAGCATATAATAGCATTGTAATACATACAAATTACAAAAGAACTTATGGATGTATATTTATTTTACATTAAATATTTTTTTAAAACATCACTAAAATCAGAAAAATATTTTATGACCTGATTATTATCAATATTTATATTAGATTCGCATGATATGACCATTAAGTCTTCCAAGCGCTCTTGGTATATTGTAGTCCTCAACCTGTTTTTTATAATTTTGAGTTTTGAAAATGTTCTTTCCGGTGTTGTACTTGATACTGGCAATGTACTTGCAATATGCAACGCATCGTACAAACACGGGAAAACAATGTTCAATCCTGATTTATGAAGTATTTGAAATAAATGAAGTAATGTCCCCACATTTTGTAAATTTTGTTTATCACCAACTATTTTTTCTCCTTCTGCTTCACCAGAATTGTCTTCATATTCATTGGCTTCACTTTTTTCACTTTCATCTTTTTCTTCATGGATATAAATTTTGTGAAAACCCACAGCTTCTTCAAATTCAAAAAAAGAGTTTGAGTATTGGATGTATTCCTTTTTCAAATCAGCACTATTGATGTAATGAGTAATGAGTAATCGTAATGGATTTATGGAAAAAACATGTCAGTTAAATGTTTATCAATTTATAAGCCAAAACCACTGTTATAAGTTATAACCATAGACCTATAAACTAATGAACAGCTCATTCCACTCCACCCTGTCATCAATGCTAGGCGGTCATATAACCATATAACTGAGAGAGAAAAAATGTGAAAAAATGAGAAACACAGTGTGAACAATATCAATCTTAAATAAAATGATAAATTTAATATTTAATTACTCAATAAATAATAATTAATATGATAGAATGAAACAACTTACTATATTAAAATTGGTATACAATTCACCTTAATATACAATCACTCATATAGGTATGTACTGAACAGTAATAGTATTCACACATCGTAAAATCTTACTATTTAAGATTATTATTATTGTACCTGATAGATTATTTAATTATTAATACATATTATAACTATACATAATATTATGACAGTTTAATAATGTTGATTTAACATCGATTTTACGTTTTTTTCTGTGAATACCCGTCCCACGTGTAAGTAACTTTCAGTATGTTAGTAACTCGAGCTACAACCCATGATAGGCTATTTGCCCACTAACCTTATGTGATGTCTCTCTCCAAACTAGTGGCCTATAATACTATCTAAAATTGTATTAAATTAAATTAAAGAAAATTACTATAACTTAATAATGAAACAAATCGTTGTATTTTAGAGCGAATACCGGACGGTGGCAAACGCATAAATATATTAGTTATGTACATTTTAGTAAAAGCCATTAACTATTGATAACTTGTAAACAAATTTTATACAATGAAAATATAAGAAAGCCATATTTTTTTTACAACAAATATACAATCTATACATCTATACATTTAAGCACAATAGGAATAATATGAGATTAAAATAAAATAAAAATAACAATATGAGGTTGCGTGAATAAGGAGCCACCCATTAGTAGCACTTAGCTTGGAAGTATAAGAGATATTTAACAGAATGATAATAAATAATATAATAATAACTATAACAAAAGAGGACAAATATTCATCAATATATAAATAGTCACGATCCAAAATGTGTTTTCTCTTTTAAATTGACTGGACAAAAACTGGTCGATAAGTTATTCAGATTGTAGTATCAGCTATTATGTAGTTACAGTTGAATAATTTAGGGTACGCCCGTCCATTAGGCACATCATACTAATGTACAATACTTATCTCCATTTATTCCCATTACATTTAAAAAAAAAAAATAAAATATCATGTGAGAATGAGTTTTTAATCGTTGAATTGTCATTCCATGCATAGGTAAAATATAGTCATTAACGATAAGAAAAATACAAGAATGACTCGACATTTTAAATAAATTAAATTTGTTTCCAAACTTGGGTTAACATTTGCCCTAAAATCTAAAATTTGTGAAAAATGCCCCACATTGTATAAAAAGCACAAAAAATGCCCTAAAAGATGAAAAAATGACTTAAAAATGTTGAAAAATGACGTATTATCAGTGATAACTATTATTTGAAATTAACGATTAATGAGTAAGTAGTAGGAGTGTAGGACTCAGAACATATGTTATAAAAATATAAATGTCAAATGGTTATAAATAATAATGATAAAGATATTTTAATTTTATGAATAACTATAATCAATATTGATATTAGCTTTTAATATTATTCACACACAAACTTCGATTATATAAATTATAAATATTTTTATAGGTAATTTATAATTTATATAATAGTGCAAAACAACAAAAACCAAAATAATTATCCAAGTCTATAAATAATAATATCGGACAATATCGTGGTTTTAATTTTACATTTGTAATATTTAAAATTTAAATATATAGTAAATAATAATATAGAATATTGTATATACTATATAAGTATATAACTATATAAATTATAGATTATAGACAGTAGGAAAACTAAAAATAAAACGAACATCAAGAACATTTTTAGTTCGAAACGTTTGACATGTTAGATTTTTTGCTGTATGTACATTTTTTGAGTTTGAACTATTTTGATTTTCGAACTTTTTTGTTCGTGTTCGTTTCGGTTCAGTTTTTTTTAAAACTGGGTTCGATTTTTCGAACTTCGAACAGTTCTGCCAACATCCAGTATACTATATAGGTGGTTTATACCTTTCGTAAATTATTTTGTATGTTCTTCGTATTTCGTATTTCGTATTTGCAAAGCCCACGGCTTTGGGTTTACGATTTCCGAGTAGGTCATACAAATCCACGCCAATTGCACGCTAAATGTTGGCGTTGAAAAAAATTCGAAAAAAAATGTATTTGTCTTTTTTTGGGGTTTGGGTTTGGGGGGGGGGGGGGCTGGAGAAATGTCTAAAAAATGGTAACGCCCCTTTGTTTTTTGCAAACAATAACCTTTCAAAAGTTATACTTCTTTTGTATAATTGTCATTCTTTTTGTTTATCGTGATTGAAAGCTTAGGAACAACAAAGACATTACATTAGATGCATAAATAATAATTAATATATATAATTAAGAAAGGACGTATTAATTTTAATAACTGTACGATAAGCTTGAGGTTGACGGGAGGGCAGTAGTGTGCGTAATTATCTTCGCAACTGTGTGTGTGAACAGTGGCGCACAACACCTATCAGATATATGGTTCAAATAGTTTAATCATTAGCCACCCACCCACCCACCCAACCACACGTTCACCTATTAATTGCATCCATTTTACATTTTTACCTTCAAATGTTTACCTCTACCAAAGCATATAATAGCATTGTAATACATACAAATTACAAAAGAACTTATGGATGTATATTTATTTTACATTAAATATTTTTTTTAAAACATCACTAAAATCAGAAAAATATTTTATGACCTGATTATTATCAATATTTATATAGATGTTGTACAGTATGCTACCTATGTGTTCGCAGATGTGTTCACCGTCAATCGTCATAGTAACTAATTTACTATTTAATTAATAATATTTTTGATTTTAAACGAACTCGGTTTGAAAAAAAACGTAGAATATATTATTTTGTTTATTTTTTCTTATTATTCGTGTACGTTATAGTCCTATTTATTTAAGTCAAATATTTTATATTTATAATTTATTTGAGTTAATTAAAATTAATCATTAGTAGTGGACTTTTATATTTTTATAAATATTATGAAAATTATACAATTCGTAATATTATACAGGTATTTACGGAAAAAACTTCCGCAAATAATATTATAAACAAAAAACCGACCTCGACCTTTATCTGGTTTATTGGGCGTTTTGTATAGGCAATATAAGTACACTCTGGGTGTTATGGCTTGGCGGTGTTATTGTACAAGTATGTCAAATAGTATGCGATTTAAATATTTATGTTTTGAACAGGTTGTTTCTCAACACAAAACCAATTTTTAAAGTCGTTAATGAATTCAATATTTGAATTTTGAATGTTAAAACACTGGTTCTGTATCACTCACACAGTGTCGGCCTGGCACATCAAAGGATCATGGATCAGTTTTTTAAGGGGCCCTATAATGAAATACAAAATTTACTTGACATATTGGTGAAGAAATGTTCGCCAATTTTTTTCCTTCACAAATACATTTATTCAAATTCCTGATATTTTTTGTACTACTATTAAAGAGTGTCCTGTGGCTATACAAACTTCTATTTTTCAAATGAGAATTTCCTTTCTTACTACAAATTATTTAGCAGATAAATGTAGATGTATCTAAATCAAAGTTCTAATAAGTAGTTGCTGAATTATTAAAATGTGTATATATGTGGCCATTATTACAATCGACCGCTAAACCTTCCACTAGCTTAGCGAGCACATTTAGCGGCTAGATTTTAAAATTTCGTTATTACAATGTTTCGCTATGCTAAATGCTACCTCTAACTATGAGTTAGCGGACACATATTTTAGTGGCAGGTTTTGGTGCCTGCTAAGGTATTTAGCGGGAAGAATGTCATAGATTATTATTTCTTATCAATTTATTATTCAGACTTTTTACGTTTTTAATAATATTTTAATTAGGTATAAAGCTTTTTATTTATATATTTTTCTTGAAAAATGAATAATATTCATAATATTATTGAATTTATTGATGATGTGAATAATATTGGAGGTAGAAGACCTCAAGTGTATAAAGATAGGCCCAATTTATATGAAATATTAACCGACGAAGAATTTAAATACAGATTTCGTTTATCGAAAAGTTGCGTAGATTATTTATTATCATTATTAGAAGGAAAGCTAAAAACAGCTACTGACCGGTAAGTACATACTATACAGTATACAGGCATAATTTTTATTTTATTAATGAAATATTTTTTTAGGAATATGACAATGTCACCAATGAACAAAGTACTCATTACACTGCGTTTTTATGCATTGGGGACTATGTTAATATCAGTGGCCGATATGTTTGGTGTTAGTATATCTTGTGCTAGTAAAACAATAAGAGATGTTTCGTACGTGATTGCCGAATTGAGTAGCATATTTATACAAATCCCTGTACATAATATTAAAGATACAAAAATGAAGATGTACGAAATAGCAAGATTTCCATTAGTCTTCGGTGCCATTGATTGTACACATGTACGAATTCAATCACCAGGAGGTCATGATAGTGAAATTTTTCGAAATCGTAAAGGGTAAATATTGACATAAAATAATACTTATATCTGTATGGCAGTAAAGAGGATACCTATAATATATTATATAGGTATATTATAAATTATATACCTACTATAATTATTAATTATTATAATGTACTATATAATATACAGTATACACAGTATGTTTCATTTACATGTCTAATGTATATATTTACAATGTTATGGGTACATGTGTGTCACAAAATAATTACCAAAATTCTTTTTAAATTCAAAGGCATCAGAAAGAATCATTTTGAGTAACCTTATAAATGACTGTAATATTTGTATAATATACCTACAGAATGCAGATGCATGTAAAATTTACATATAACTATGAGCTAATGCTATTATTGTATTATAATTTAAAATTATACTTTTTTATATGTTGTAGATATTTTTCTTTGAATGTGCAAGCCCTTGTGAATTCAGAATTGCAGTTTATGGATATTGTAGCTAGATGGCCAGGTTCAGCACATGACAGTCACATATGCCGAAATTCAAGATTATTTGCTAGGTTAGAATCTGGAGAATTTCAGAAAATGGCTATCCTAGGTTCCATTATCAGTTATTGCACAACAGCTGGTTTCAATAGCCAATGAAATCGTTGTTATGTTTGAGATTAATTAACTGACGGATAGTACTAGCGGTGACATTGTAATAATGGTTTAATCTAAACTGGCCACTAAAGTCCCCGCTACGCTAAACTGCACGCTAGCTTAACTGACAGATAATTATAATTTAGCAAGACATTGTAATAACGGTCCTTAAAATAATAATAATATAATAATCCTTAAAATATGGTTTACAATAAAAAACTATAAGTAGGTACCTACCTATTCACTATTATCAGTATACCTACTTAATAATTTTTACAAATTATTTATCGTGATAGATCAATGGTAATTAGTAATTACTAATTAGTACTAACAACTAACTACTAACATATTCAAATCATCTAAGCCCCAAATCTACTTAGCTAATTTCCATATACATATTATCCTTAGCACACAAAGTTATACCTATAGCTCAAAAAGTATTAGTTCCAATTTTGATTTTGATGCATCAAAGTTCTCAAAAAAAAATATCTGCTGATGATCAGTCAGCGTATGATATTACAAAGTATATTTGATGATATTAAGATGAATAAAGTAATTTATATATAACCTATTTACGTGGAATCATATTTTAAATTTTCAATCCTTAGCTATATGATAAATGTTATCAAAATTTGAACTTTAAATACTTATAAAAAAAATGTGCCTATGTATTTTTAATATTTTTCAATTGCTATTGTAACAATATATCAGGAGCTTTGTATTAAATTTTTACACTTTTTGGCCCAACAGATAAAACTTTATTGATATTTATAGAAAAAAAAACTAAAAAAAATTGAAAGCTGTAAATGTCTGTAAACAGCTCAAAAAGCTTCAAATTATTTTCAAAACTGTATGGTGTATAGGAAATGCTAATATAAACATTCAGTGAAGTTTTCATGTATCTACAGTTATTCGTTTTTGAATTACAACAAAACAAGGAAATCGCTACATGAGAAATCGAGTGAATATCCATTTTCGTAAAAATTTAATTTGACTTTCTTATAGACATTTTTTTATTGACAAAGGTAGAAAAACTTATGAGTAATCTTGTATTATATTTTCAAATCTTAGATTTAAAAAGAAAAATTTTTACGAATTCTTAACTCAAAATAATTTGCTAATTTTCGTGATTTTTCCATATTTAGTCAATTTTTGAACTTTAAATGCTTATAAAAAAAAACTGTGACCAACGATTTTTAATATTTTTCATCTGCCTTTGAAACAATATACTAGGAGTCTTCTATTAAATTTTCAAGCTTTCGCAACCAACAAATAAAATTTTATTGATATTTTTAGAAAAAAAACTAAAAAAAAAAATGAAAAATGAAAATGTGCCTAAACAGTTCAAAATAAATCAAAAAATTTTGAAAATGTTATCATGTGTAGAAAATGCAAAAATAAGCAACCAGTGAAAATTTCATGTATATACGTTCATTCGTTTTAGAGTTACACCAAAAACCAAAATCGATTTTTTGGAAAACAGATTTGCGTAAAAATTCCCGTTATTCCTTAATTTTTATGTTGTTTTTCCCGGCGCTTGTGAAAACTATTGTGAATTTTAATATTTGAAATCCCGAATGCACCAACTAGATTCACTTTCCAATCGAACAAAATACTGAAGTTGAAAATCAAAGCATTATTTCGACTACTTATCGTGTACACAGACACAAAAAAAAAAAACCATGTGTGTTACCAGTACGCGCGCGGGAAGTTAAACTTCTTTTGAATGGTACACGTGAGTGAGTGAAAAAGAAAGAAAAAAATATTAATTAATTTAAAAAATATGAAGAAGTATCCGGAATTATTTATTATTGATAGTTTTATTATTTTTTTTATATTTTTATTCGACAGATCGATGGATAATTGTTTGTAGTATTGTTTTTATCCAGACAATATAGATTTGTGAGTGAATACTAATAATAATAATAAAAATAAATAATAATCGATCATTATTCATATTAATTAGTATGGCCCGATTATAATATATAATTCTAGCTGATCCCGTGCACTTCGTCGCCCTTTAAATGTATCAACTCAATATGAGTTATTACTCAAACTTTGTTCAATTCGTTATTCAATATTCGGTGTATGGTGTTCAAAATTTATCTTATCTTTTCCGTTGCCCGGAATAAAAATTCTGAATCGCAGCAGTACATTATCAGGTAGGCAATCTACCTGCGGTAGATCGCGGACCCCGTGCTGTTTGTACGGAAGTGTATGATTTAACTCTAAATTATCAAAGTTATACCAAGTTTATTTTGATATAATACGGTGGATTAATATAACAAATTTGGTTGCTCGTAAAAAATCACAACTCTTAAAAAAATTATGATTGTTGAACTCCTTTTGGGTGTAACTTGCTGGGGTAAGTGCAACTCAGCCACTCTGGTAGGCAATGTTCAATAATTTGATTTGATGCAAGCTTGTACCTGATCTGCCCGAATAACCAATGGCAACCAATAAATAAATGCTAATTTCTAATGTAGACTGTAACCAATGGCAACTATTAATAAATAAAAATAAAATTTCCAATTTCCATCTTGAATCTCAATGTCCCTGTTTGAGCACCTATTTAAAATGCGAATTTCAAAAAATCCTTTCTTAGCGCACGTCTACATCATAATAGCTATCTGTATGCCAAATTTCAACCAGATCCGTCCAATGGTTTGAGCTGTGCGTTGATAGCAGTCAATCAGCTTACTGTTTTATATATACAGATATATATATATATATATATATATATATATTATATATATTATAATATATAATAAAACAACATTACCATGACAATATTTATTTATTTATGGACATGTACGCTTTCGCGTTCGTACGCGCCGCCCGTTCGCTTTTTTTTTCCTCACTACCGTGCGTAAAGAAGTATAACTTCAAAAAAATTAATTTAATTTAAAAAAAAAAACACACACATCATTGTAAAATCAATACATTCATCGTTCCACTCAGAATCTAAAATAAACAAAATCAATAAACGAAAACGAAAATAATTAATTGTAGTATAATAAACAAGCAGTGGCGGATCTAGGATTTTTTTATGGGGGGTGCTTAGGTTAAGGTATAATATAAAACAAGTTTACAACAAGTATGTGTATTATAAGTATGAATCTTACAATTTATGACTATGAACAATTCAAAATTGACAAACCTGTACCTATGTTAACAGTAATTTATATTTTTGAAATACGCTGCTTGTTTTATAAATATTGAATTTAATAGAATATTAGTTTAATTCTGTAATTCAAATTTAAATAAGATAAAGACCTTCGAACGTGTTGTTTGGTTACCTACATACTAAATACTTATATACAATTAACATTATTATGCCATTTCGAGTTGTATTATTGTTATACTTACATATATTTTTTAATGAAATCTATTATTTTATCTTTCATTCATGCCATAAAATTTGAGAAAAAATTGACACCTATCCCACCAGGATTTCCTCCTGTTTAACAAAGGGGACAAGCCCGCTTAGTGACTCGGGCGGATGTAATATTTTACAGAAGCACTGAACACGACGATATTCAAATATAAAAGAGTAAAATGATTATTTTAATGAAATAGACCATAGATTAATTATCGACATATTTTAGTAATACGCAGAATATATTGGGAAATCGTGAATGCGTGGGCTGGAACGATGACCACACAAATCACATCCATGAGAACCGAGATACAGTATCTATAGGCAAGGGGTACGGGCAGTGGCGTAGCCAGGATTATGAAATGGGGGGTGTTTAAGTATAGATTAAAACCAAGTTTTTTACAGTTTTCGTATATAAATAAATTTAGGGTTCGGAACTTGACTTGTTGCACTAAATATTATCGAAATATGATGCAGTCAAAGTTGCCACTTTGTCTAATTCTTATCATAATTTAAAAACCAAAATATACAAAAATAAATTTAGAGTACCTAAATTGATATGCCAGTTTTAAGTTTTCTTAAGGTAATCGCAGCACACTTATTTTTAGACCAACAAGAGGTAGTAAATTACATATAGGTACTTCTTAATTTCCGACTGTAAATTTTTATACATGTATTAAACTACTCTTTGGCAAAGTATCCAGGGTTTTTAGGATGTCGGTTTCAAAGTTTAAAAAATTTTAAATCATTATGGTCATTAGAATTTTGAATAGTTCATTTTTAATTAAATACTTTTGATGAGTTATAACTTATAAGTTATAAGTATTTTATATTTTAAGATTAGATGAGTGAAGCAGCCAGTGCCGCGACCGTCGTAAGGATTTGCAGGGCCCAAGATAAGTAAAAATTGTGGGGCTCTTTTTCCCATCTTATACAGTAAGTCCCCATTATAAATTAACTTTAGATTTAATTCAAAATGTAATTTTGTCCATCGATTTTAAATCAATAAATTATTGTACGTTAGGTATGTAAATAAAATCAAAACAATCAATGAAAAATGTATTATCATACAAATAAACTCTTATTGCAAACAAACTTATCATCTTTATCACTATTATAAAATATCAAAATAAAAATATTATTAATAATTATTTTTACTAATTAAATGTAGAATTAGGTACATAACTAGGTACGTAATAGATAAGTAGGTAATAAATTACATTTATAAAGGAAATTAAAAAAAAAATGAGTGTGCTTTACAATTTATAATATTTTAAATACATAATACATTGTTAAAGTAAAATTTTGTCAGTTATAATTCTTTAATTTTCTTGGGTTTTTTTTTTTTTTTGACACAAAATCATTGTTATATCTCCATAATTTAGTTGTTCTGTTATTACTGCTCTGATTTATATGCAATTAAAAATGATGAAATATGCATTTTGTTTTATTAAAAATATGCAATATACTACATAAGGATAATTAAATAAATACTTTTTCTATACTTTTTTGAAAAAAATTTGAAATTTTCAAATATCCTTCAATAGCCTTAAAAGTTGGATATTTGGAAAATTAAATAAATGTTCGTTAGTAAACCAGCCGTATCACTGTTTATCGAATATTT